TATGTAGCAATTCAATTTTAAACCGATCGAGCAATCTGGACTGCGTTCGGAGAAATATTTTTGTTTTATATTATCTATATAGTGTTTAAAAATATAGATGTAAAATAAAAATAAAATGACACAAAAAGCGCTAATAGCATCTCTTTCAACGTATTCCTGATGCTGAAAATTAGAATAAATCTATCATGTATTTGTAATATATTTTATATGTATTAGTAGTATTTGTTAAATTGCTGAAAGATTAAAATTGTTCCATCTATCTTATGTATTTTGAGTTACGTATGAGTTCCATTACATTTTTAAGTAATTGTTATGTATTATATGCATAACAAAAAAATATATCTTTGTTCTTCTAAATTGCCCTCAAAATTATATTGCATTTACATATCATCTCTATAACCATGAAATATATTATTGTTCTTTCCATGTGCTCCTTTTAGTTATATTACAGTTACGTATTGGTTTGCTGGGTTAATATTCAATTATAAATCCAAATTTAATTTTATATTACGGTTAGTCATTATTACTATTTTTTTATTGATAGTGTATGCAACACTAATCTTTGATTACCAATATTAATTTTTTTAATTGTTGTTAAATACCATGTTCAACTGCGTGACATTTTTTATTATTTTTGATAATATAAAATTCCATCAAATCTAGTGCATAATCACACACACACGCGCGCACGCTTGTCCATTTAGTTTTAAACTTTGTAAATTTTAAAGCGATTCTGTTTAAATGATGCAATTTATAAATAATTATGTAACTGACATTTCTTTTTCTCACAAAAATTTGTATCATTTATGAAAACTTGTAATTTTAGTTGAGCCTGAACTTAAGTTCATTAATTCTCTAAGAAACCTCATCCACATTCATCTCCTTCCCGCATGGAAATCGCACAAAGTCCGATCTTGTTATACAGGTTATAGGGAATTGTAGGGATTAAGTTTCTTGATCAAAATAGGACCGACGATTGCGCTGGTTTGCGGGATCGAGTAATAACATCCTTTTCTGGACGTTGACTTGTCCGCCAGACCCTTCCAAAGCGCTTTCGAATCGCATGTACGTCTCCTTGCGTACCTGCAAGACTATCTCACGTCAAGACTTACGTCCTTCTATATGCCTTCCTCTCCGAATCTTGTCTCGTTTCTACACGGGACATCTTCTAATCTTTTTAAAATATAATTCATTTCCCGAGGCTTGGACGTAACAACTTTCTTTTTACAAGACATTCCGTATAATAAAAAATTGCGTTATCTGAAAAAAATGCATAAAGAGTCGCATAAGAACGCTTCTCACGTATAAACGTAGGAAAAGAGAATATATTAAGCTAATTGTAAAATTAATATTAAATATATTAAGTTAAGTATTAAGTAATATAGCTTTTATAAAATGAAATATATTGTTACGCTCGGGGCGGTGAATCTCGCGTTCACGCACTCGTTCGCGTAACGTTTGCGCTTCCGCACTCGCGTTCGCGCATGCACATCGGAAGGCCACAGGGAAATAAAAGGAACACCAATTAAGAACACAAGGAACACTCTTTATTATAGCTGTGAACAGATAACGTAGCGAATAGATAGAGCAGAGCAAAGCACGTCCGCATGACACGACGGCTTGTCTCAAATCTCAAAGCGTCCGTTTGACAGGCGACAGCGCGTCGTCAAAGAAACATCCGACAGCTGGACCGGCTTGCTGGTACATCGAACGACGCGGGCGTAGACACGGGTGTAACAATATATATCATTTGATTTATAGTTTTAAATTTGACTATACACATAGGCACTTTATAAGACTATACACATGGACTGGTAATACAAGCAAAATCGTGTTCATACTTCTCTCTCTAAAAGGGTCCGGAAGTATATATGTTTCGCGCATGCTAACGCATATTAATATTGGATGTATTCTGATTGATTGATTCATACACCCAGATAGCCAAATGAATTCAAGATGCTATCATGTTGCTATCAACTATTGCAGCAATAAATTGACAAACTAAATACAAGATGTTTCCTTACTATGTGTGAAATCTTGACCTCACGTGAATTCTAATTTTCACTACAAGTTGATAGTATCTTGATGATATCTTGATGATATGATTTTGTTATATGCAACGAATATACGTATGATAGCAACATGATAACAACTATTTTCATCGTTTTACTCTCCGCGTTTAATTGCGTTTGACAGCAACTTGATGGTAACATAAGTGCAATTTATTATCTTGCTGTGATATCCGTAATAAACAGTTGGTTGACAGCAATATAATGGCAACATTTGCGAAAATATAAAAGCATTTCTGTATTTGATGAAAACATGTTAATATCTGATCTCTCTTATATATTTCCATAAAAATTTTATGTTTTAGAACAATAACGGTATATATCACATTGTAAATTTAATTTCAAAACAATACCAAGCTTCTTTGCTGCAAAAACGTTATTCATATCTTATACTAACAACTTATACTAACTTGTAATTGCACACATGAATAGTGCACAAATAATCATGACATGTCCAAACTTTGATTAGATATTGGTTATATAGAGAATTTGACAAAATTTTAAATGTAAGAAACAGATACTAACACACGCTATCTAGCAGCAGTCTTGTAAGTATTCATATATAATTTACATTAAAATTTGAAAAACTACACTCGACAGCAAAATTAAAGCATCACCCATTCTGATCACTAAAAATAGGCAAATTTCAAGAGAGTGTAACTTCGTCAAAAATGATCGTATCGGAATGATCAAAAAAGCATTTTAAAGCTTAAAGTCTCTACTTTCGACATACATAATTTATTAAATTACTTACTGATTCTTTACAAAGCTGCACGGATGCAAATGAAGATGCATCAAATCTAAAAATTTTTTACCAAGTTTGCGAAGTTCCAAAAAGTAAAATAAAATTTGCACGCAAATGAGGTTTACATCGTTCGAAAGCGTGAATCTTTAGCTTTAATTTGAGTACCGATTAGCATCGTGCGATTTTTTTTCACCGAGTTATTCAACATTGAAGCAAAAATGACCATTTTTGCATTAATGTTGAATAACTCGGTGAAAAAAAATCGCACAATGCTAATCGGGTGCTCAAATTAAAGCTAAAGATTCACGCTTTCAAATGATGTAAACCTCATTTACGTGCAATTTTTATTTTACTTTTTAGAACTTCGCAAACTTGGTAAAAAATTTTTAGATTTGATGCATCTCCATTTGCATCCGTGCAGCTTTGTAAAGAATCAGTAAGTAATTTAATGTATTATGTATGTCGAAAGTAGAGACTTTAAGCTTTAAAATGCTTTTTTGATCATTCCGATACGATCATTTTTGACGAAGTTACATTCTCTTGAAATTTGCCTATTTTTAGTGATCAGAATGGGTGATGCTTTAATTTTGCTGTCGAGTGTATATGTCTTTTTAAAAGAAAAAATTGTTTGTAAAAGTTGTCGTAAACGTGTGACACTTTTTATTCTCAACACTTTGTTAGCGACAAGCTACAATTAAAAACCTTTATAACTTGAAGAGATATACGCAACAACGAATGAAAATCATAACATATGTTTTGTTGCCAACATGTTTTCATCATGCTTAAGGTAGAATCTTATTTTATTTATTGCTGACATGTTGCTGTCATGTTGCCGACAACATAATGTACCACTATTGTTGATCGTTGCTCTTGAAATTTCATCAACTGATTACACATATAAGCAATTATGTTGCTGCATTCATAATGTGTCATTTTTTGATGTCAGCAAATGATAGCAAATATGCAACAACTCATGCATTAGTTTGCTCGATATGATTAATTCCCGCTTGGTTATCTGGGCATTTTCAATATGCTCGCATACATTGTATCATAGCACATGATCAAGACCATATGTTTCACTGATATGTACAATGTATAGGTATTTCCAGACACTTTAGAAAAAGAGAGGCACTGAAAAGTACGTTTTCCCTCCTCCGGACATTGAGTGCATTCAGCGGGTTCAACAGTTAAATGAGCGTTTACTGCTATTGGTGTATTCTTTTAGGTCATTCAATCAGAACTTTAGATCTAGAAGAATTAATACACCAATAGCAGCGAGCGCGCACTCGATTACTGAATCCGTTGAATGCATTCATTGCTTCTTATACAGAAACTATAGCACATTGCCAGTCTATGTATATAAGGTTTATGGCTGGGAGCACATAATGTTATGCATAACAAAGCATAAGAATATATAGATAAACCGACTAGACCAATGCGAATCTTATGTAAATCAATATGACGACTTTATGCAGACTGCTCATTGGTCCAGCGGTTTCAGGTTGCGCTTATGCTTTGTTATGCATATCATGTGCTCTCATCCTATGGCTGCGTTCCGTTTGGCGCTTACAGCTGCTTACAGCGCTCATAAAATCATTTCATCCTTGTTGTTTATCAAATATTGAACAAAGACAAATGATGCTTATAAGCGCTGTAAGCGCCAAAAGGAACGCAGCCTATGACTATATCATGATTATATCACGGTCGATCCAAGATGGCAGCATCTATGAATCGTTTAATAAATTTAGTCGGTAACAGTCATCTCCGATAGTAAAACATTAAGATATCCATTATAATTCATCTTCTGTTTATATAAAATTTATTTTTCATAGGTTATGATATGCCCCATCGAATCGGTAATGTCAACAATGTAGAGAAATTTGATCCACAATTTTTCGACATATCTACAATAGAAGCTCATGTAATTGATCCTATGGGCAGAATGTTACTCGAACATACTTATGAAGCAATTATCGATGCGGGTATCAATCCCAAAGAGTTACAAGGCACAAGAACGGGTGTTTTTACAGGAATTTGCGCTGATGTACAAAGCCATTACATCTTTTTTAAATCTGAGGTATGATATAATTAATGATTTAATAAATTTATATAATGTAATTTAAAAAATTATATAAAAAAATAATAACTAAATATAAATTTTGTTAAAAATTTTGAATTTGTCTTTTTAATACGCAAAATAAAAATTTATAAAATGTGTTTAAATAATTTTAGAAATAAATGTACAGCTTATTAATTGTATATACTTTAATAGTTTAAATAATTTAAAATAATGTACGATGTATTTGTTTCGTAATCAGTTTAATGGAATGCCAGCTTGGTGCAATCGATCTTTCGTGGCAAATAGAATTTCTTACTGGCTCGGTACTATTGGACCATCATATAATATCGATTCTGCATGTAGCTCGAGCCTCTTTGCCATAACAGAAGCTTACAAGCTGATTCGATCTGGAGAATGCGATGCCGCTATTGTCGCTACCGCCAATTTATGCCTCCATCCTCTCGTAAATTTCGGATTTTATCGTCTTGGTATATTTATTACCTTTTAAATATTGCTGTTAAAGATAACTGTATAAGATACTTATAATCTCAATTGATATTTTTATCTATTTTTATATATCAAAATAAAAGTATTTAATCAATAACTATTTGTTTAATCTTGTTACTTTTGTATCCAGTTATGAATTCTACAAACAACATTATCTCTGTGGTCTGTAACATCTCTGTACATTTTTGTTTTTAAACAAATTTTATGTTTAATAAAATAAACAGTATTAATTAAAATCAAAATTAATATTAGAGGAAACACAAGTAAAATAAACAAGCAAAATTATTTTGATAACATTTTAGTTTAATTAAAAAAGTTAAATTGAAATAATTAATATAATATATTTTAATATAACTTTACTACTAAAAATATATATTTACATTTACATCATTAATCAAAATAAAAATATGAATAAAATTTATTTTGACTTAATATCATTTTGTCAATGCTTACTTACGTTTCTGCGTTACAAAATGAATGAAAACAAATAAAAGGACTTGATTTAAACCAGCCTCTAAATCGATTTTTTCAGGGGTTCTGTCTTCTGATGGTTATTGTAGACCCTTTGATGAAGAAGGCACCGGATATATGCGCAGCGATACACTAACAGTAGTATATTTGCAAAAGGCAAAAGACGCAAGGAGAGTATATGCGACCTTTGTACACGGTAAAATGAATTGCGATGGCTTTAAAGAAGAAGGTATTACTTTCCCATCATTTGAAATGCAAAAAACGTTGTTGGAAGAATTTTACGAAGAATGTGGAGTCTCACCCAATGAGTTATCTTACGTGGAGGCTCATGCAACTGGTACTATAGCGGGTGATCCTGCAGAAGTCCTATCTATAGATCAGACTTTATGTGCTAAAAGAAGAACTCCTTTATTGACAGGCTCAGTAAAATCGAATCTTGGACACTCAGAACCGGCCAGTGGTCTTTGTCAAATTGCAAAAGTATATCAGTAATTAAATAATTTAACATTAATTTTGTTTAGAATATGATGACTATAATTTTCCTTACATTGTTATTAATTGCAAATATATAGAATTACAAATTATAATTACTGCTAATATATAATTACTAATTATAATTACTGCTAATAAAAAGATATTATTTTTTTAAAGGTAATATTAGCAATGGAAACTAGTATAATTACGCCTACTATACATTTCAAACGTCCACGAAAAGAATTAACTGCTATTATTGAAGGAAGAATGAAGATTGTTACCGAACCAACAGAATGGGAAGGTGGTTATATAGGTATTAATTCCTTTGGATTTGGTGGGTCCAATTGTCACATATTGCTAAAATCAAATCCTAAGCAAAAAATTAATAATGGAGCACCGAGTGATGACTTACCTAGACTTATAGCCGTATCTGGACGTACAGAGGAAGCAGTTAAAACCATCTTTAATGACGTGAGCAATCATCGTAGTAGCTTGTTTTACTTATTATAGAAATGATACAAATTTTAAAGAGCAAGGCATCTACTCAATTTTTAATTGCTCAATCGCATGTTGCACATTGTGCGCGTGTGGAATATACATGATCCTCTAATAAAAGTTCAGAAACGTTAAAATATCTCGAAAACGATTAACTATAGCAAAATATGTAAGAAGCAAAATTGTAAGGCTAAATAAAATATGCCTAACGGTGGTAAGAGTTTGATTTTAGATAAAATCAAAATTATATGAAGGTCAAGTTGAATTTTTTTCAAAGGAACCCCAATTTTTTATAGCATGTTCTTGTCTTATTTTAACAGTTTTCTAAAATAATATAATAAAGTATTTTTACTGTGACGTACGGTGTTGTATATCTCTATATCTAAGATGTAAGATTTAAAATTTACAGTACCGTCGGCATTAACATTATTCCAGGTGACCAAGCAACGGCTAAAACGTTTTGAATGTTGTTCAGGATCATGACCTTGACAACATATATCAAAGTTAAGGCCAATGGAGATTGTTCCTTTTATTTTCATTTTTTTATAAAAAGAAGGCCAGTGGCTTTAACCATAACACATGTTATCAACGTCATAACTCTGTAACGATGCACCCCCGAAAATGCATCGTTCCTGGCCGAACAACCGCCGGATGCCGCCCGACCGACGAGTCGTCGGGCGAGAAAAGCCCGGTGCGCCCATTTTTTTAAGCTCTTAACAGATAGTTGGCTGGCGGCTTAGCCAACAAAGACGTTACCGTCGACCGTCTAACGATCCGGAAACCGCCGAACGGTGCCGATCTCGACCGAGTGCGGAATTTGTTATACCGTTATTAACAAATTATTGCGAAAGGGAGGGAAAAGACCTCGCCGCCGGGTATAAAAGGAGCTCCGAAATCAGAAGGACCACCAGTTCTTGGCCGTCCTGCGAATCGACTACACCGAGGTAAAGTGTTGCTTTGCCTCGGCCCGAGCGCTTCTCGGTGAAGTTACGGTTCGCGGGCTTCCTTACAACCCGCCTCACAGTGGCAACGAAGTACCCGGGAGTAGAGCGCTTCTCTACTTCTGGCTGAGCGTTCCTCAGCAGGAGCCACTTCTATTCCTTACACCCAGAGGGGCGATACCAGGGCGAAGCGATACTTCGTCTCGATCCGAGCGTTACTCGGGCACTCGGGTTACTCGCTTCCCTTGTTCCTTTCGACACGATCCTTGGTCTTCCCCCGGTTCGGTCGTATTAACGCCTGGCGGCCCGAGGATTTAAACCGCCACGTGCGATCCGCTCGCCGTGCTTGCGCGCCGAGCCGGTACACCCGTCTACGCCGCGAGCACGTGTCCGCACTATGGACATAGGAATATAAGGGGACAGAGCACAAAGTCATAACTTAGGCGAGGGGAGTGAAGCCGAAATGCGGGGGGAGATTGTGCTGAGTTCACTCTTTTTGGTCCCAATTTATCCCCTCCCACAGCAAAAGCATAGGGATACTCGATCTATTATATATGTGTGTATCACATGGACACAAGAACTTATATCATTGCGCTTGCGCAAACTAACAGGTCAATCAAATTCAGGCGGACGTTTACCTCGTCGCATCGTCCCGTAGTGGCTTCCCCCCCGCAACTCTATGCTCTGTCCCCTTATATTCCTATGTCCATGGTCCGCACTGACGGGTCCAACCGGTGTGCCGCGCTCCGCCCCGCAACCCGTGCGCGCAAACCGAGCTCCGGACACCAATACGCGTTGCCGCTATGGGGATACGGTCGGAATTATTTCCTCACATCATTATTGTAATTACGGACCTTTTCGCGTTATTGTTAAATCGAGAACTTCTTCGCGTTACCTTAAATTATCATCGCACATTATCGGATCATCGAACCCGTATAGTGTAGCGGTCCGCTAATCGCGTTTATCTTATATCTCGACGTTTAGTTGTTTTATGGTACTTTTATTTTCGAAATATATCTTATACGTTTAAATTTATTCTTTATTGTTCGATTCTTTAAATTCCGCTGCTCTCTCTCCTGAACCTGCTGGCTCCCTACCACTCGTTTCTGTACCGACGAGCTATTCCCCGTATCAATAGCAGATCGTTTTAATTTTGAACAACATTTAAAAAGTTTTAGCCGTTGTTTAAATATCTGAAATAATACTATCATATATGACATATGCTGTCAAGGTCATGATCCTGAATAACTTTCAAAAGGTTTTAGTCGTTCGAACATCTGATTGTGAGATAATGATAATGCCGGCGGTACTATAAATTTTAAGCCTTATAACTGGAGATGTACCATAATCCTAAATAACTTTCAAAAGGTTTTAGTCGTTCAGACACCTGGGATAATAATATCGGCAGAACTATAAAAAACATAGTATAGAAAAGGTCGTTTTTGCCCACTAACGGAAAAGTGGTCACTAAAACATAGTGAATCTTATAGATTTCGGCCTGCTGAACACGATGGTGCTATTAGTTTTTATTAAAAATGCAAGAAACATCGTCATTTTTCGAGTTGAAGTTCTCTTTTTTTACCCTCTCTGTAATACATGATTTTCAATATGAGTGGATTATTTCATGTGAAACTTAGTATGCGTAGGTTCCTAATATTGTTAAACGGAAATCTAATAAATAAGATGAATTCGAAATAAAGGATCCAAAGTGGTGGATGCCATTTGGCCATTTTTTTTGCTGTCGCCAACTGCTTTCTATAAATGTTCTCAGCCGAGCCCAGGGACAACGAGCGTGGCGGTTTTCTGTTCCCTCTTTTTTTGTGTTTTGTGTATTTAAAAAATTTTTTTTGTGACTTGTATTTTTTTTATATGCTTAGTATTTTTTCATGTATCCATTTAATCGGTGTTTGAAATGTCAGACCAATTCATCCGATTCGTCATCAGTTTCATAATTGTGAGTCTCAAAGTAATCTATAAGACGTGGACCTCTCTGTTCATCTTATGGGCATTTCTCTTCCATTTATATATGTTCTATGCATGCGACGTAAGACATGGTCGACACGTACGAGAAGGAGGGAACACAATTGCATTTTTCGTTCTCTTTCTAACAGAAAAAAGTGGGGGATGCATCATGCGAGATCAAAAAAGCGTACATGAAAAAATCCAGTGTTAACGTTTCAGAAAACGATTAAATGGATACATAAAAAAAATACTAAGCATATAAAAAAATACTCACAAAAAATAAAAAAATAAAAAAATACACAAAACATAAAAAAAGAAAGATAGAAAACCGTCACGTCTACGTTTGTTGTCTTTGGGCTCAGTTATAGAAAGCAGTTGGCGACAGCAAAAAAATGGTCAAATGGCATCCGTCATTTTGGATACTTTATTTCGAATTTATCTTATTTATTAGATTTCCGTTTAACAATGTTAGGAACCTTCGCATACTAAGTTTCACATGAAATAATCCACTCGTATTGAAAATCATGTATTACAAAGAAGGTGAAAAATAGGACTTCAATTCGAAAAATGACGATGTTTCCTGCATTTTCAACGAAAACTAATAGCACCATCGTGTTCAGCAGGTCGAAATCTATAACATTCACTATGTTTTACACTTTTCCGTTAGTGGGCAAAAAACGGTCTTTTCTACAGGGTGTTTCAAAATAAACATTTGTCCTTAAAATGTCATATTCCTGACACAATTCTGAGACGATTTTTCCTTTACCACAATTTTATCTAAAGCTTAATTTTCAAATTATAATGAGAAATATAATAGTTAGCGGATTACGGGCTGCGTATGGAAGGTAGACAGGGACGCGCAACTTACTGTTGGACGCAGGCGGTACGCGGGGCCCTCGCGACGATCAGCTGACTGCTACACGTGCGCAAACACATGACATTTTTAAAACATGCGATTACATTCTCTCTTGCTTTCACGCACGCACGCACGCACGCACGCACGCACGCACGCACGCACGCACGCACGCACGCACGCACGCACGCACGCACGCACGCACGCACGCACGCACGCACGCACGCACCGCACGCACGCACGCACGCACGCACGCACGCACGCACGCACGCACGCACGCACACATCAATTACCTTGTAAAAATTCGATGACTCCTGTAGCGTCGTGAGAAAGACGGAATTTCCATTTCGATGTATCACGTACAGCTCCAAATAAATGTTTATTTTAATAAATTTTTAGTTTTAATGCAGACGTTATCACTGACTGACACAGATCAAATCATTATTTAGTTGATTGAATTAGTTAATTCTTTTTTTTACATAACGTGTCACTTCAACATTTCACATTCAATTAACATATTCGATTCACATACGAAAAATTCACTGGAAGAAATCACGAGAAATCTATTAATGCATTTATCCGTTTTACAATCACTGTCAATTAATTATCTGTCCACTAAAACATCACACAAAGAAACACACGGCGGTTTATTAATACACGACCCGTTCACTCGAGGATAGCATGCAGTCGAAAAATAAACATCACTTGAAAAAATAAATACACAACACGCGCACTCGATGATAGCAAACAATCAACTGACTTCAAAACCGAATTTATTAATTAATAATTATCAGTGTCGATTAATTATTCGTATCGATTAAATATTTGTCGACTAAAAAATCACTCAAAAAAAGAAACACACTATGCGTGCTCTCGATAATAGCCCACTAAACACACTTTGTAACTGTTACGTTACCTGGGAGTAACAAGTAACGTAACAATTGTTATGTTAATATTACATCTGGAAGATGTAACTTGTTACTTTCATGTTACTATTTCAAAGTTACATGTAAAAGTATGTCACTGTAACATAACTTTTTAACGTTAGAGTAACTATGTGAATTAATAAGTAATTATGTGAATATATCTTTGATATAAATGTAACGTTAAATATTACTTATATGTGACATATTTTACATATTTTATTTTTTGAATTAGAATAAAAATTTATAAACATTTATACATTATAATATTAATTGCTGCGTCAATCTTCTGTGAATCAACTTTGTAATTGCAGGTTTATTATAATAAATAAATATT